TGTGAAGGGGACTGTCCCTGGCAGCAGTGCCAAGATAGGTGAAACATGGACTGCAGATCCTTGTCAGGGCTCATTTTGTCCTGCTGTGGTGGCTTTGGAGACCCGATCTAAAACACTGCCTTGCTCTGGGGTAAGAATGGGGCTGCACAGTGCTCCTTGGGCTGGAGACTGGCAGACAATGGAGACAAACAATGAAGAGCTACCAAAGCAGAGATGGCTTAAAAAATAACCCCCAAACCCCAAGCAGTTATACTGCCAGGAAGTTTTCCCTGGACAAAAACATCCCTGGATGGTGCTAAATCCAGTCGAAAGGAGGTGATCCTATCTGTAAAACAGTGCCATGTCACTAAAGAGAAGAAAAACAATTTTCTGTGGGGACAAGGCATCTAAATTATTTTCATATCTCTATACATACATTCCTGTGTAGGCACAGCCTGTGATGTAGTGAAATATGGGAACATCAGAAAATGGGAGAATTGCCTTGGAAAGGAGGATAAGCATGTTCATCACTAACTGGGGTGTGAATCATTTGGCTGATTAATGGACTCCCTTCCCCATTCTCCTCAGGACCCTGAAGATGGAAGAGGTGGCTGTCCCCTGTGGCTGTCCCCTGCCCAGCATGGTGCTGGCTCAGCACAGTGGCTGTAGGGTTCTATCTGTTGAACTTCTCACAACCTCTTGGGTTTGCCTAAATTTCATGTTATGCTCCTGTTTCCCCCTGCATTTTCCTAGGTGCTTCTCCATGATTATTTTTATCCTGTTTCCTATTTTTTCTAGTAGAACGTGCTAGAAAATGGACTCAGTGAGAGCTGTCCTACAGGCATAGCATCATTATATGCTGTTTACTTTTCCAAAATTTTAACTGATATATGAACAAAAGGGTCTCTGTAATATCTCTTCTTGCCCTCAGCTGCTTTTCTCTGTGGCATATTGCTCTTCAGCTGTTTGGCATCATTTTTAAATTAAGATTAGCAAGATGCGAACTAAACCCATTGCTAAAGTATCAGGATCATCTCTCTTACAGATCTGATTCTGCAATACAAACTCCTATGAAAATTAATGGGCTGTCTGGATTCTGGTGCAGGACTGAGACTTTATTGTGTAAATCCATCAATAAGGGCAATCAAATGAGTCGGGTGAGGTTTATGTTTAATACATTCTTGCTGTCATCCCTCATTATTCTGCTCAGGTTTCCTTTTGTAACCCAAGCACACAACAGGAGCAAATCCTTCAAACCATATAGCTTTGCAGGGTTCTCCTCATCCCCTGATGTTACATTTCATACAGAATCGTAGTGGTTGGAAGGGACCTCGGAGATCGAGTCCAACCACAAAAAAAAACCCAAAAAAAACCCAACAAAAAAACCCCCCAAAACCACCACCCACCCCCTAAACACACAACAACAACAACCAAACCAAAACCATCACCCACACACACAACATCTCACCACAAACCAATAATCTTGGGCACTAGAGCATGCCCTGAAGAGCCATGTCTACACGTTTCTTAAATACCTCCAGGGATGGTGACTCCACCACCTCCCTGGGCAGTCCATTCCAATGCCTGACAACCCTTTCAGTAAATAAATGTTTCCTAATATCCAACCTGAACTTCCCCTGGCGCAACTTGAAGCCATTACCCCTTGTCCTATCGTCTGTAGCTTGGAAGAAGAGACCGACCCCTGCCTCTCTACAGTCCCCTCAGTCTCCTCTTCCCCAGACTGAACAACCCCAGCTCCCTCAGCCTCTCCTCGTAAGACTTGTGCTCCAGACCCCTCACCAGCTTCGTTGCCCTTCTCTGGACCCAAACCATTGGTATCAAGGTGTGTTTGGGCCATTCTGACCTTGCACATGTTGGTGTGGGTGCAACTGGTGGACAGGGTGCTGCAGTGGTGGGATGATGGGAGAGATGTGGTGGACACAGGCCCCATCTGGGGTCAGGACCTGAGTGTCCTCTCTCTTCTTCCTTGACTCTATCTACACTGCCTGGCTGGGTGCTGCTCTCACCTGGCCAGTCTGACTGGGTCTGACACCCACTCTGCTTTCGTCAGGAACGGGGTGGTCAGCCAACTGTCTTAAATCGGGGAATTGTTTCACTTCTCTATAGGAGTTAAAGCTTTTGGAGGAAAAGAAAAAATTAAAAACAAAACCCATTTAAAAGTACACCTACCCTCCCCAAACCTTACCACGTCACAACTGACTCATGGGAAGACACCTCAGTAACAAAGAACGTCTTTTGTTTTTGTCCTTCAACTAGACTTCCAGCTCTATCCACTGTACACTTTTTTTCTTTTTCCATTCCGGATCTTTTGTAATCTCTCCCAAGGATTTATTGAGACATGCTATATCAGGTTAGTTTTCTTCTCTTCCTGGTGGCCTCCCTGCCTAATATGCATACAGAAATTATCTCATGATTCAGGGCAACACAGCTCTTCGGATCTGTCATGAGCCATCTGTGTGACCTCAGGCAGTTTACTTTTCTGTTCCAAGCTCTCCTCTGTGAACCTGCACATGACTTTGGTTTGAGTTGAAAAGAAATATTAGAGTTGACCACACAGCAATTTAGGATGCTACTTTCTTGGCTTTGGCTCCAATCTTACATGCTAACAACTATCCTGATCTGAGAAACATGTGGCAGCAATTTATCACAAGGGTTTTATGTCTGAACTGAGCTGTGTTGGCCTGTCTGGCCAAACACGTATGTCATGCAGAAGTACGTTTTCTTCCTTCCTCAGATGGTGCTGACTTGCCTCTCTGCACAGCTGTAGCCTGTTTGCCTGTGCTCAAGCTCCTTATAGCTCTGTTCTGCTTGACTCTCTCATTTATCCACCTGTTTCAAACCTTGCAAATGATTTTTTTTCCCCTCTTCAAATTCTCCTCTTTTCACTGGAGAACAAGGCACACAGCTTCTTCCCACATAAATCACATTCCAAAACTTTGATGTAATCTTTGTTTTCTCTCTCAAGTCCCCTGAGAGCCCTGCACAGGATGACAATCTTATTTTTTACTTATCCTCTCATCAGGGGACACCTGAGAAGGGCTACTCTGCTGGATTCTTTAGCATCAATAACAACACATCTGTGAGCACTGATCTGCTTGAAGAGCAGCCTCTACATGATCTGTCAGGTCCCATGTGGGCTGAGGAAAAGTTTTCACTAATAACATTGCAATGTCTTCTGAAGACAACAGGGAGGGACTGGGAAGGGATGAGGATTCAGAGCATGGTTTTCTCATTAGCACAGCTGTACATGAACAAACTCAAAGATTTTCAACAAGGCCTCAAAGCTGATGTTTTTCAACCTTGCCTGAATGTTTACTATTTAGGTTCACCCTGGGGTGCTTTAATAAAGGCAGACTGATTTCCAGAGGACTTGAGTGACCTAGCCCTCCTCTTGTCTCTGCTGGAGCCGAGTTATTAAAATAAAACCCTTTCAGCTATTTTGTTAGGATATGGAGGGTATGAGACTGGGGTACCTCTGCCTTACAAACCGTCCTAAGGATGGCAAGAATTCCTCTGGCTGTGTGGGGAAACTGAAATGATCTATTTATAATTTTCTTACCCTAACAAAATACAGGGAGTGACTCAAATATGTCCCATCCTTATGGAAATTAATTGTGCTAATGGGATCATTAGAATTTAGAGCTACTGTCATCAAACTGGTTTTTGCAGCTAATGATGGTTCTTGGGAAGGTTATGTCATAATGAAGGCGGAGGATCTGGTCATCTATATATACGTGATCTGACCTGAGCCCTTTCTTTGGGTTTCATTGAGCAATGCACTAGTAGAGTCAACGTAGGCAAACAGCTGCCACCCTCACCATGAAAATAGAAGGTGCTTCGGTGGTCCTTGCTCTGGCATTTTTCTGCTTCTTCTCAGGTTAGTAACTTCTGATGTTCTCTGTGCTGAAATCTGGGACTAGCAGAGGACACGGCCTGGGAGCTCCCATAAAGACAGGGAGAGAGGATTAGAAAGCCCTTATTCTTTAAAAAGCATAGTGGCATAACCAGAAGACCATTGTTTACTGTACCGCTTGTATTGATTTGGTGTAACACATTCTTGATAATGGCTTTTTCTCTTGCATGTAAACATGGTGAAGTTCCACTAATAGGTGGAAGTATATCTTTTTAGTAGAGTTAACAGTTTAAGAACAAAAAAAAAAACCAATCCCAGTTGTCTAAATGGAGGAATACAACTTTCCAATGAGACTGAATTTTTGTGTAAAAAGTTTGACTTTGAACAAAAGTGTAATACAACTTTTTCTTGTGAAATGGGGATTTCTTGTCAACATTGTTACAAAGGAATGCATTTTTATATGGCTACAATAGAGAGACTTCAGCAGGATTTTAGGCTTGATGCAATGGTCTTTCAATTTACTGCCTATTTCTATTGAAAGGGTTCCCTGTAATGCCACTGATGATGTAAGAGAAAAGGATAAAACATGTATTATATCAGCTCTAAGGGACTTAGTAGAAAGAAACATATATCAGTTACCCGCCTGGTGACTCATTATTAATTTGGTAATTTATGTGAAGTACTGCAAATGGAATGGGCATTAAAAAGGAATTGGAAGGTTTGGACAAACAATGATATTATGGGCTAGCTCTGGTACCCCAATTCTAACTGAAGATAAAGAACATCAAAAACATTTGGGTAAGGCTGATACTGCTACCAAGGCAGTGGTGTAGAATAATAGAGAAACAGTTACTGAATCATCCTTGAAACTTGAATTTTAAGACTAAGAAAAGTAACACAGTAAAGGAGGGCACAAAGATGAAAAAAATGGATGTGCTTTTGCATTTGAATGACAAAAAGTGCAACGTTCCAGAAAGCCTCTAATGCCTGGTCCTTTCTATCAGTCTATAATAATGCATTGGATTAACTTTTATCTAGGGGTATTTGGGTGGATTAGGAAACTGCATCAAGTATTTAAATACTTTTGATTTAAAATTTCCCTTCAAAGATTTTGTATGGTTTCATTGTTGGCTTTTTTTTGTCACAGATGTTGCCAGCCAAGCTTCGATTAAGGCGAGTCCAACCTTTTCTGTTCTCATTTTTCTTTTGTTTTGCCAACTACACTGCTTAATGCATGCTCTGAGCAAAGTCATTTAGACAGACTATACTTAGATGTCATAATGCTTTTTCAGTGGTGGAAAAAGCAGTGAATTTCTCCATGTTTAGAGACAATACTTTTGTAATATGGCAATGACTCTAGCTGACATTGTATGTTTGGTGTGCTATGCTGAGCACATATCCGAACAGCTCTGGGCTGGAAATCTCATGAGATGAAGTTAGAAATTGAATGAATTATATTTTAATGATATTTCAGAATTTTGCTTCTGATCCAGCAGAAACCCCTGCTTCTGATAATTCTCGAGTTTGATAATTAAAAGAATTAAGGCGAGTCCTTTGAGTCTCAGAAAATTATTTGATTCAAGGACTGAGAAGTCAGCTCCATTCATGTTTTAATCAAACAAGCTTGTCTCTCCTTAGTAATGACCCTCTTGGAAAATATAGTAGCTAAAAATAACTAAAAGGTTCATTGATTCTCCCTCCTCTGCGTTTCAGTTACCCAGCAGAAGAGGCAATTGGTTGATGCAGAATTACACAATATTACTGCTCCGCTTCCTGAGAGGATTGTGCGTTTCTGTGCTTCAGCCTTGCACCTGAATTACTCTTCAGTAACTCTGGTTGATTCATTACTGGCACTTTTAGGGCTATATTTTCTGCTCTTGACTAACTTCATAACATAGAGGCCTCCCTTGCAGCAGGTAGCAATTTGCAGCTGTGTGCAAATTAAATATGTATTCTTTTCCCATGCATAATGGCCCTTGCAACGGTTTTTGAACTTTCTTGTTGCCTCTTCTGCCTCGGGATTCATGAGCAGGGCTCTGGGCAAAGCTTGTACCACGTGTGGTGAGCGATGGGGGTGAGGAGCGTGAACAAAGTATTGCTCTCCAAAGGATGTAGCCCTCCCAAGAAAGCTTAAATGTGAACAAATGTTCTCAGGATCTTGATGGCCTCTGAGAGAGTCTCCCCTGACTGTCCTCCTCTGCCTTTCAGAATGAGTGCATGAAAATTTGGTCACTTCTGCGCAGTGGAAAGTTTTCCTGTCCCACGTACAAGGAGCCCTTCAGAAGCCCGGGTGGTAAAGGAGACCTCAACAAGTGCCTGATGTGCCAAAGGCTGCTGTGAGTATTGGCCACCCACTGGCTCATGCACTGGCCATCCTCCCCATGAGCTGCCTGTCCTCTCCTGTAGCGATGAGCCCGCTCTTGGGAGACTCTGTCTCTCACTCTGTGATGTAGAATCGTAGTCCTGGGCCAGACAGACCAGTTTGTAGCTCTTCAGCACCCCTGCAAACCCAGTAGCACTCTTCAGCTTGTCACACGGGGGTGACACACCACAGGGTGTGAGGAGCAAATCCAGGGTGAAAACGTACGTGGATTTAGTTTCTCATTTCTATAGATGGTGTTTAATAGTATGGAAAAACCTGGACATTAGAGAGAAAGGATGGCGAAATGCCCCCCCTGCAGAGATGCTAAATACCCCGGGCATGTCTCACTGAGCCCCAGTGCTGGTCCATCCCACCGCCTTGCACAACGGGGAGGTGGGGTTGGCAGGACTGGCCTTTAATCACTAGCTATTTTGGTTTTACATCCGAGGACTGTACGCTGCTCTGTCACTCACGCCTCCCTTTCTTGCAGGGAAAGAGACTCAAAAAACAAAGGGAGTGGTGAAGAGGCGACCAGGAATGTGAGCTCCTCGGGAGAGGTGAGGTGAAACATCGCTACCGGAGCCAGTTTTATCGGCGCTCTGGGAGCAGGATGATGCGGTGGTGTTGCATCTTCTGCCTCTGACCCACTTGCCCAGAGTGTTTCCTTGTCTGGGGCGTGGGAAACACCGGCTTGGCCGATGGGGAAGGGCCCAGCAATGGGAGTGGGTGAATGTGCTCTGCCTTGGCAAGAGGTTCTGAAGGACCCTGAGGCTTTGTGCCATCTATGAGTGTAAAAAAAAACCAAAACTGGCAAATCCCAGGCAATCCTAGTCCCTGTCAGGCAATGACTGCCGTGGCACATGTGGTCTGTGCCTGACCCAGGGTATAGGCTAAGGAGGATACCTGTCTGTTTATAAGGCATGCTGTTGGCATCTGACAAGTAATTAATAGCAATGATGGTGCATGTGAGCTGTGACTAGGGCAGGGTGTGGGAGCAGGCCGCCTCTAATTGTCCCTTGTTTATCTTGTCGATGCACCCTGCTGGTTTCTTTTACCTGTAGCTGTTTTTCTAGATAGCAAGTCTTTATGTGGAGGGACTTGTCTTTGTGAGCCTTGGGTTTTTTTTCTGGATAGGAGTGAGCTGGTTTCCATCAGATAGTGTTGGTTGCAGTGATTTATTATTTCTTTTTTTACATCTGGTTAAGCAGTGTGGCTTTCTAACTTTGTGTGTGTAGGCAATTTAAAGGCTTTGTAAAGCATAGCTGTCCTAAGGGAGATCTTTTTTTAAACACCTGACTTGCTAAAGTGTGGTCCTGAAGGCAGAAGGACAGTTTTACAGTGTCAGGAAGAGACCTACACTGAATTTCTTTGTTCACCTGCAGATTCTCTGTCTGGCTTTCAGGAAGTAATTTTCTGGGCTTGAATTCCCCACCTGCAGAGCTGGGATAAGAAATCATACCATCTCCTTTACCCAGTGTGAGGGGGGAAAAAAATGCAGATCACATGGCAGATAGCCTTAAGTGCTGCATGAAGGATCCAAAAAGGCTTCACATGTAGCACGTTTTTGTTATACTACAAACCTGCTTGTGTGTTTTGAAAGTCAGAGGAAAGCTGTTCAGAGGAAATTAAAGAGCACACTGAAGTACTCAAGTGGGTTTGGCTACAAAAGCCTTTTGTGAAAGTGCTTTGCTTCAATTGATGCATAAGGTCATGTTAAATAAATGGAAGGTAAAAAATGCCCACCTCTTACTCTGGCATACCTGGAAGAAAGAGTGCAAGGATTATTTTTTTTTTTACCTGGCAGCTTAATTTTTTTTACTGTGCATGGATTTTGAAGTTCTTGGTAGTTTTCTCACATTTTGTGAGTGAACACACTGACTTCCTCATTCAAAATTCACCAAGAAATTTTCTCTCTTATACTTAGGGCAGAACCTCGGTCCTTCAAGCAGGCTTTTGCGTGTCTTATCTGTTAGAAATAGAAATAAGACTAGCCTGGATGCAAAAGACAAAAGTACTTGTTTAAACATAAGGATTTATTTGTTTTCTGTTGCATGCTATAGTTTAAGACAACACATCAGCCAAACTATGGTTTACCACTGAGTTACGCCTCAAGGAAATGAAATAGTGTTTGAAACATAATTCATTGGGTGGATAATCCTTTGTGGATTTGTGGGAGATGCGTGCTTCCGTCAGCATATCTGTGTCAACCTGTGTTTTTGGCACTTCCACAGGATGACTGCCGAGAGTTTCGGGATCTCTTCAAGAAGGGGAAACTTTCCTGCACCAGAGAAAATGATCCTGTCCGAGATTCCACCGGGAAGCAACACAGCAATAAGTGCATCATGTGTGCAGAGAAGTTGTGAGTAGAGCAGAGGGGAAAAAAAAAATAGGTTTTTTTATAGACTGAGAAAGTAAAGTGGCTGCTGGAGCAACGTGGCTGCCGATGCCAGTGGATGGGAACACTCCCCCTCCTGCAGCCAGTGGTGGGGAAAACCTCTCACTCCCTGGAGCACTGTGGTATTCACTTTCTCATCTTGCTTCTCTTCCAGCAAAAGGGAGAATGAGCGGAAGTTATCTAACAGACAAGGAAAAGATAAGGTGAGATTAAAGTATTAGGCAGGTCAATATAAAACTTTATTGGATTTTCACCCAAGATAGAGAAAAGGCAACATTATTCTACTCGGTTGCTCTGTCTCTACTGATTTAATTTTGAGATCCACTTTCCTTTTCCTCATTTCTTGTTCATGCTCTTGAATCCCCCAAGTGAACAACTTGTGCCTGAATGTTATGGTCTAACCCATTGACCTGTGGATCCAGGGAGAGGTAAATCCCATCAGAATAAGAAACCAGATGTGCTGCACTGTCCTAAAACCCGGCTCAAGGGTGGAGAAGCCAGTGCTGCTCAGGGTACTAATTAGGTTAAAATGAAAAATCTGGGTGAAAAGCTCTGAAAAGTTCAGGAGATCATTATATTCTGAGAGGAGAGCTCAGCCCTGCACTATCTCCATGGGCCTGTGGCTCAGTTTTAATTCTTATGGTGCTGCCACTTGCCCCCTTCGCCCTGCCACCCCACAGCCACCATGCCCTGTGCACTGATGTTTTCCTGGCATAAGCAGTTCCATAAGGAAGGGGGGGGAAAAAGGTCCCTTACCCATGCTTACCTTTTGATTTCTGCCATGGCAGGGACTGGTACGGTCCCCTTAAGCTCCAGTCTTGGGGATAATCTTGTTTTGGTACTTTTCCTAATGACTTTGGCATGAAAAAATGGAAGCGTGCGTGAAATTTGCTGATGGTGAAGCTGGGAGGCAGTATCAGCAGAGGAGGATCAGCAGATCACTCAGGACTAATTGGATAGTGCTGAAGCCTGGAGTAATAGAAACAAGATAAAATGTAATAACACTGCAAGATCACACAGTCAGTGATTAACAAGAATTCGTGCTTGTCAGTTAGAAATGACAAAGGATAAGAAAGCCCTGCATTTATTAGTGGGTCAGGGATGCGACAGGCCGTGAAAAAGGCAAATGCGAGTCTTGGATGTACTCAGAGAGGATTTTGCAGTGGGGGTTGGGAAGCTAAAAGAGCTCTAGAGATGTTAGTTCAAAGGGAGACCATTTGAGAGAGGCTATTAGGGGAAGGCAGATCTGTCTCGGAGGCGGAGGATTGGGGTGGTGAGCTGGGCTGGTTCCAGGGAAGGAGACAGAGATGGGGCTGTGAGAGCTTTTCTGGGCTTGTTGAGGAGGAAAGCATCACCTGAACTGCAGAGGGGTGTGAGCACATACTGGTGATGGGGAGACACATGGAGGCTCTCGGGCAGCCACTCTGAAATGGGGTGTGATGTTTATTTCCAATGGGAGCAATGCAATGTGGCTGTTGGCCACAGCAGGTGACAGCTGGTCCTGCGCCGGATGATATCTCTCCTACCGATGGTTAGTTTGGCTCTGGGGAAAGGTGAGGGTTTGTACTCTGAGAGTTCTTCTGGCATTAGTCCAGCAGGAAAGCTGAGGAGCCGGAGGCTGAGGTGCCCTGGATAGGATGCAGGAGACAATGCTGGGAAATCCCCTGGCAGACAAGACGAGGGGCTGGAAACTTCTCAGCAAAGCAAAGGATGTGAAGTCTGTGACCTGCTAAGGACCTTAATGCAAGCTAGCTAAAGCTCTCCTATGCACAAAATGGGCAGAAAATTGGGAGTGTTAAAACCAATTTGTAAAAAAATAAAGAGTAAGTGGGATCCAGTTAGTTACCCTCTGTACTTGCTGTTTGGAAAGCGCTGTTGCAGTGTTGGAAACTGTTGAAATTAGGGGGCAAATTAATATGGTTTCTGTACAGTGATTCTTGAACCGGGAACAAATTAATCATCTACTCTCTAAGCAGCCTTCCAATGGTCATGGACTATTAAGTGTGTTTGCATTGTGCTTTTATGTTTTAACTGCTGCTTCTTGGTGGGTTCCCAGTGTGGTTGGTTTCGGGGGTACTATTGGTTTTGTAGATGAAACTATTATCTGAGCTATGATCTGGGAAAAGGCTGTAGCTGTGTATTAAGGATGTTGGGAGAAGTGGGAGGGACTTCATTACCGTATCGGTCACATCACTGGCATGCTTTGGATAGCCCAACAAGGGGAATAATAATTAGTCGGAGCATACTAGAAAACTCCCAACACGTGCTCTGCAGGCAGAGGGACCCATAATTTTTCTGACTCACTCCTCTGTTTATATTCTAAGTGGCTGGTATTGCACACCCTTTTCTCTTGTCCACACCCAGGCTCTTCTGTGATGCATTTGTGATGCTTCCACGCTTTCCTGGCAGGAAACCCCAAGTTTCTAAGAATCAGATCACTAAGATGAGGAGGACAGGGTGCCCTAACCACTGCCCTCCTTTTGCAGGATGACTGCAGTGAGTTTCGCTCCCAGTTTGAAGCTGGTGGACGACTGTCCTGCACGAGGGAGAATGACCCTGTTCGGGATTCCTCTGGCAAGCAGCACACCAACAAATGTCTCATGTGCGCTGAGAAGTTGTGAGTACGGCTTCCTCTGAGCAACAACAGAAAAGAGGGCAACCTCCTGCTGTGAAACAGCAGCTTTTCCCTGTGGAGCTGCATCTGGGCGATGCCTGGGGGAGGGTCCTGAATCCCAGAGGCCCTCCAAGAGATGCTCTGGCAGTAGGGCCCCACCATTGCCCCTCTTCTCACTTCTCTTTCAGTGCAAAGGGCTTGGGGTGGGTGGAGTGGTGAGAAGCAGTGCGGAGTAGAGGAGGAGAAGCAAGGTCGATAGAGAGCAACCCCTTTCCCAGGGGACTGTCAGGTGCAGGCAGCTCCTGAGGAGTTTCCCATGCATGTACTTTGCCTTCCAGATGCTCTCTCTCTACTCCCATAGAGCATATGCAGAAGCAGCCCTGATATGAAAACAGCCACCCCGGATCCAGGATGTAGCGTACAGTGGGAATGGTGAGGAGAAGAGGGAAGGCTTAGGGGTGGGAAGTAGGAACAGGACCACCAGGAGCAGGGACTGTGGATGGGGAGGTGGTGCCCAATGGCATGACGTGGGCTTACAGGGCAGCCCCGGGTCCCGGTGGCACTTGCACTGCCATAGCACTCTCTTTCCCTTCTCTCCTCTTCTTCCAGCAAAAAAGAAGCCCAAAGAGGAGGTCAGTCTGGTGGAACTGTTCAGCGCAACAAACCTTCCACTTCAGACCGTACAAAGCAGGTGAGATGGAGCTTGGAGCCTGCCCTGAGCTCAGACAAAAAGGGGCTAGCAAGAACCTGTGGCATCTTGATGGCCAGGGACTATCTGTGGTCGCCCTGGGGTGACCATGGTACTTGGGATGTTGGTGTCAGCTAACGATGGGGGTGAAGCAGGTTGTATTGCAAAGCCTTGCTCGTTTGTGGGATGGACCTATGCGTAAGCGTACAACGTGGGCGTGTTTGGACCTCACAGAACAGCCCCTCTTACTTTCCCAATGATGTGATGTTGTATATGAGATAAAAGGCAGGTTCAGACTCCCCACAATCCTGTCAGCCCTCAGATGATAATATTTGGTGGGTATTAAAGCCTGTATGGAGCAAGCATCAAACCTTGCTTCTCCAGGAACAGCCCCACAACACCCTGGATCTGGGAGGAGGAGGGGGAAGAAGAGGAGCTGCTTTAGCTTTGCTGCTTCTCTGGTTGTATAAAAATTGATTCTATGTTTGGTTGTTTAATGTGGTGCTGGCTCTTTTGCAGAACTGTGGTGGTTCAGGGTCACAGCAGGGCATGAATGATAGACGTCCCTTCTCATCAAACAGAGGGTGAGTACAGCAGCACCTGCAATGGCAGACTGTCCCTTCAAATGCCCCACAAGACCTGGCACTGGTTTCTGCCCCCATCTACCTACGAGTTTTTTCTTAGGGGTGGTTAGAAGGCTAGGAGCAGGAATGGTTCAGTAGCACACAAGTGGTGCTGCCTGCAACGGAGAATTGAACACTGATGTGTGGTGCTCAGTGCAGCACTTCTCCCCACTGGCTAAATCAGTGATTGGGGAAGAGATGTGTAGAGCGGGGCATGTTTCTCATGCAACCCTTGCCCCTTTTTGTCCTTGACTTTATTTTGCACGAAGCACCAGTGCTTGCTGTGCCCAAAACCCCTCTCAGGACACCTTTGCCCAGAAAACCCTGTCTCCTGGCCTGGGATGTGTCTGCTGCCTGGCCCTGGCTCACCTTCACCCGCTGGCTTGGAGGCAGTGCCTGGTCCATCATGTGCTTTCTGGGCATCGGGCAGGCACTCCTGTCTGTGTTATATCTGCTGGACCTGAGCAACACTCAGTTGCTGCTTCTTCAGAGCATTTGCTGCGGAGCCCTGAGATTTCTTGCTTTTGGCTGGTGTGGTCCCTTCATCTCCCCACCCTCCCAGAAATGCCAGTGGACAGACAGGACTGCAGAGCCCTGGGGTGGTCATGCACTTGGGCTGTGCACAGGGTGAGGTTTGTCCTGCTGCTGGCTGCCTCCTGTTAGCATGTGGCTGGGGCCTTCTTGCCCTCTCCTCTCCTGGTGGGTGAGTGGGTGCTGCCACAGTGCCAGCAGATCCCCAGGGGCTGGGGAAGGGGGGTCTGTGGGGAGGGTGGCTGGGTTTGCACTGGGCTCTCCCTGTTCTGGAGAGAAGGTCTGTGACGAGCTGCCTCTCTGCTCTTCCCCTGCCAGCCCACAAGGAAACGCAGCTCAAAGTGGTAGGAACTGCAAGCCCGGCCGCAAGACACAGGACAGAGACAACAGCGGCTACCAGCTGGTAAACCCACCTCCTGCATCTTGGCTGGCAGCTGTGCGGGCAGAAATGGGGACCTGTCCCGTGGGGGGCTCCTCCGCTGGCTCTGACCCCCGACAGCTCCTTTCCCAGCAGCTGCTCCTGTTCTTGCTCTGACCTTAAAGCTTCTCACTTGGTCCCGTATCCTTGGAAGGGTTTGAATGGGTGTAAGCATCAGTACCTTGATGCTAGCCCCTGTATCCCCCAGCATGGAAGCAAAGGGAAGGGGAGCAGGGCTGGACTTACCCATAAAGGACCCTCCTAAACTGGTTTTGTTTCTGGGGTTGGCTCCTCATGGAAGTACATCAGCTATGAAGGTGCTGGTATTGATCTCAGGCTGGATGACTGCCCCACATGGAGCCAAAGCAGGGTGAGGGTGAGGGGTGCCACCCCCCCATATGTTGAGAAGGTGCTGAGTCAAAGGCCATGGCTGGGGCAGGGTGGTGGAGCTCAGCAGAGGATCAGGACAAGGTTGGCAGGAGGAGGGAGTGCTAAAAGGGGAAGCACTGAGTGATAGATGATGACTGTGTATGGAATATGGCAGGGGGAGGGAGTGCTAAAAGGGGAAGCACTGAGTGATAGATGATGACTGTGTATGGAATAAGTGGGAGAAAGATGGTGTCTGCTTTGCCTTGTGTCCATAAAACCAAAATGCAATAGTTTCAACAAAGCTAAAAGTGGAAAATATAATAACTAATAAGAGGAAAGAAGTTACCATTAAAAGGGTGACTAAACTGTGAATCTCACTGTCATGGGGTGTTGTCAAGAGCTAGGATTGTTAAAAATTGGCCTGATGTTTTAATCCCTCCGGCATTTGCATACAGTAAATTAAAGAACATTTTGGAAGGGATAGGTAATGTGTTTCATGGGGCTGGGGAACCTTACTGTAAACTGCCTTAACTCTCTCGGAAGCTCTGTCACTGACTGCTTTTAGAGAAGGGATATTTGAGTAAAAAAATCCTGGTAGGTGGTTCAGATACAGCAATTTTGATGCATTCCAAAGGAAGCATTAGGTGTAATAATTCCAGTCTGCATCAGGGCTTAGTGGTATTTCCTGGTAGCACCGGAGGAGGTGTGGATGCTGATGAGCCTGACTGACGAGAGGTGATTCAGAGGGCAAATCTGCTCCTCTCCTCTTTCCAGGCCCACCTGTGGGTTTTGTCACAGGCAGCTCCACTTCCCCAGAACCAAAGAAGTGGTGGGACCTGAGATATGTGGGGCTGCCGGTGGGGTGGCTGCCTGCCCTGGGCAGTAATGCGGGCACGGAGGTCATACTGCAGGCAGAGATGTCTGGACCATAGGAAGGCATCTAGCAGTGGATCGCAAAGGTCAGCATTGTCTGCCTTCACGTCATCAGTAATTACCCAGATGAGAGAGGAAACAGCACATTAATGAAATTAGCAAGTGGCATTTAACCAGCAGGTGCTATCACAGCACCCCAATGTCACTGAACCCCCTGTGCCACCTGGCATGAAACCTCCCCTCCTGGTGGTCCTGCTGATAAACCATCAGTTTGTGCTAAATGGTGCATCTCCAGGTGGGACAGGAGGTGGAATGTCCTCTCTGTCCCAGCAGCAGCTCTCCTCCGATTGCACCATTTGCAGCCATTGCAACATGTTTTATAGCACCCGGAGGAGGGGATGGGAACACATTAGTCACTCCTTCGTCTCGGTCTTTTTTTCAACACCTGGAGCAGAGGTGGGCGGCCGGGCTGAGGAAGGGGCTGTGTGTGTGCCAGGGAACAGGCTGCTGTACCTCTGACCTCTGCTGCTTGACACTTGCTACAACTCTGAAAACACCCTGACATGTTTGTAGGGTGGAGACCTAAGTGCCAAGAGGGGACCCCCAAAAAGCTACTCCTTGTGTGAGTTTGTCCTGGTTCTGCTATGCATGGTTTGTAAGGAAAGCTGTGTTTAAATTGTAAGGAAAACTGTGTCTCGTTGTCATGCTTGAGAGGAAACGCGAGGGCACCCTTAATTAGTCATAGATGCTCATATATGCTTGTGTCTCTGAACTCAGTGGGTGTCAGAAGTTGTGCTGCGTGTCGCACCACCCTCGGGCTGCTGTAGAGGTTTTTCCTTAATTTTGGCCAATGGATTTCATCTTCATTCTTGGAGATGAAATGGCATCAAAGCCCTGATAAGGAGGACTAGGGACAGGTAGCAGAAATTTTCATCTTCTTGTGGATCCCCAGTGAGAGAAATAAACCTGCCCTGGACCAAGATGCCAAGGTAGATCAGATAAGTGGGTCTGTGCCTGGCTGTGGGGCAGGTCCCCTTGTGAGTGAACACACTGACTTCCTCATTCAAAATTCACCAAGAAATTTTCTCTCTTATACTTAGGGCAGAACCTCGGTCCTTCAAGCAGGCTTTTGCGTGTCTTATCTGTTAGAAATAGAAATAAGACTAGCCTGGATGCAAAAGACAAAAGTACTTGTTTAAACATAAGGATTTATTTGTTTTCTGTTGCATGCTATAGTTTAAGACAACACATCAGCCAAACTATGGTTTACCACTGAGTTACGCCTCAAGGAAATGAAATAGTGTTTGAAACATAATTCATTGGGTGGATAATCCTTTGTGGATTTGTGGGAGATGCGTGCTTCCGTCAGCATATCTGTGTCAACCTGTGTTTTTGGCACTTCCACAGGATGACTGCCGAGAGTTTCGGGATCTCTTCAAGAAGGGGAAACTTTCCTGCACCAGAGAAAATGATCCTGTCCGAGATTCCACCGGGAAGCAACACAGCAATAAGTGCATCATGTGTGCAGAGAAGTTGTGAGTAGAGCAGAGGGGAAAAAAAAAATAGGTTTTTTTATAGACTGAGAAAGTAAAGTGGCTGCTGGAGCAACGTGGCTGCCGATGCCAGTGGATGGGAACACTCCCCCTCCTGCAGCCAGTGGTGGGGAAAACCTCTCACTCCCTGGAGCACTGTGGTATTCACTTTCTCATCTTGCTTCTCTTCCAGCAAAAGGGAGAATGAGCGGAAGTTATCTAACAGACAAGGAAAAGATAAGGTGAGATTAAAGTATTAGGCAGGTCAATATAAAACTTTATTGGATTTTCACCCAAGATAGAGAAAAGGCAACATTATTCTACTCGGTTGCTCTGTCTCTACTGATTTAATTTTGAGATCCACTTTCCTTTTCCTCATTTCTTGTTCATGCTCTTGAATCCCCCAAGTGAACAACTTGTGCCTGAATGTTATGGTCTAACCCATTGACCTGTGGATCCAGGGAGAGGTAAATCCCATCAGAATAAGAAACCAGATGTGCTGCACTGTCCTAAAACCCGGCTCAAGGGTGGAGAAGCCAGTGCTGCTCAGGGTACTAATTAGGTTAAAATGAAAAATCTGGGTGAAAAGCTCTGAAAAGTTCAGGAGATCATTATATTCTGAGAGGAGAGCTCAGCCCTGCACTATCTCCATGGGCCTGTGGCTCAGTTTTAATTCTTATGGTGCTGCCACTTGCCCCCTTCGCCCTGCCACCCCACAGCCACCATGCCCTGTGCACTGATGTTTTCCTGGCATAAGCAGTTCCATAAGGAAGGGGGGGGAAAAAGGTCCCTTACCCATGCTTACCTTTTGATTTCTGCCATGGCAGGGACTGGTACGGTCCCCTTAAGCTCCAGTCTTGGGGATAATCTTGTTTTGGTACTTTTCCTAATGACTTTGGCATGAAAAAATGGAAGCGTGCGTGAAATTTGCTGATGGTGAAGCTGGGAGGCAGTATCAGCAGAGGAGGATCAGCAGATCACTCAGGACTAATTGGATAGTGCTGAAGCCTGGAGTAATAGAAACAAGATAAAATGTAATAACACTGCAAGATCACACAGTCAGTGATTAACAAGAATTCGTGCTTGTCAGTTAGAAATGACAAAGGATAAGAAAGCCCTGCATTTATTAGTGGGTCAGGGATGCGACAGGCCGTGAAAAAGGCAAATGCGAGTCTTGGATGTACTCAGAGAGGATTTTGCAGTGGGGGTTGGGAAGCTAAAAGAGCTCTAGAGATGTTAGTTCAAAGGGAGACCATTTGAGAGAGGCTATTAGGGGAAGGCAGATCTGTCTCGGAGGCGGAGGATTGGGGTGGTGAGCTGGGCTGGTTCCAGGGAAGGAGACAGAGATGGGGCTGTGAGAGCTTTTCTGGGCTTGTTGAGGAGGAAAGCATCACCTGAACTGCAGAGGGGTGTGAGCACATACTGGTGATGGGGAGACACATGGAGGCTCTCGGGCAGCCACTCTGAAATGGGGTGTGATGTTTATTTCCAATGGGAGCAATGCAATGTGGCTGTTGGCCACAGCAGGTGACAGCTGGTCCTGCGCCGGATGATATCTCTCCTACCGATGGTTAGTTTGGCTCTGGGGAAAGGTGAGGGTTTGTACTCTGAGAGTTCTTCTGGCATTAGTCCAGCAGGAAAGCTGAGGAGCCGGAGGCTGAGGTGCCCTGGATAGGATGCAGGAGACAATGCTGGGAAATCCCCTGGCAGACAAGACGAGGGGCTGGAAACTTCTCAGCAAAGCAAAGGATGTGAAGTCTGTGACCTGCTAAGGACCTTAATGCAAGCTAGCTAAAGCTCTCCTATGCACAAAATGGGCAGAAAATTGGGAGTGTTAAAACCAATTTGTAAAAAAATAAAGAGTAAGTGGGATCCAGTTAGTTACCCTCTGTACTTGCTGTTTGGAAAGCGCTGTTGCAGTGTTGGAAACTGTTGAAATTAGGGGGCAAATTAATATGGTTTCTGTACAGTGATTCTTGAACCGGGAACAAATTAATCATCTACTCTCTAAGCAGCCTTCCAATGGTCATGGACTATTAAGTGTGTTTGCATTGTGCTTTTATGTTTTAACTGCTGCTTCTTGGTGGGTTCCCAGTGTGGTTGGTTTCGGGGGTACTATTGGTTTTGTAGATGAAACTATTATCTGAGCTATGATCTGGGAAAAGGCTGTAGCTGTGTATTAAGGATGTTGGGAGAAGTGGGAGGGACTTCATTACCGTATCGGTCACATCACTGGCATGCTTTGGATAGCCCAACAAGGGGAATAATAATTAGTCGGAGCATACTAGAAAACTCCCAACACGTGCTCTGCAGGCAGAGGGACCCATAATTTTTCTGACTCACTCCTCTGTTTATATTCTAAGTGGCTGGTATTGCACACCCTTTTCTCTTGTCCACACCCAGGCTCTTCTGTGATGCATTTGTGATGCTTCCACGCTTTCCTGGCAGGAAACCCCAAGTTTCTAAGAATCAGATCACTAAGATGAGGAGGACAGGGTGCCCTAACCACTGCCCTCCTTTTGCAGGATGACTGCAGTGAGTTTCGCTCCCAGTTTGAAGCTGGTGGACGACTGTCCTGCACGAGGGAGAATGACCCTGTTCGGGATTCCTCTGGCAAGCAGCACACCAACAAATGTCTCATGTGCGCTGAGAAGTTGTGAGTACGGCTTCCTCTGAGCAACAACAGAAAAGAGGGCAACCTCCTGCTGTGAAACAGCAGCTTTTCCCTGTGGAGCTGCATCTGGGCGATGCCTGGGGGAGGGTCCTGAATCCCAGAGGCCCTCCAAGAGATGCTCTGGCAGTAGGGCCCCACCATTGCCCCTCTTCTCACTTCTCTTTCAGTGCAAAGGGCTTGGGGTGGGTGGAGTGGTGAGAAGCAGTGCGGAGTAGAGGAGGAGAAGCAAGGTCGATAGAGAGCAACCCCTTTCCCAGGGGACTGTCAGGTGCAGGCAGCTCCTGAGGAGTTTCCCATGCATGTACTTTGCCTTCCAGATGCTCTCTCTCTACTCCCATAGAGCATATGCAGAAGCAGCCCTGATATGAAAACAGCCACCCCGGATCCAGGATGTAGCGTACAGTGGGAATGGTGAGGAGAAGAGGGAAGGCTTAGGGGTGGGAAGTAGGAACAGGACCACCAGGAGCAGGGACTGTGGATGGGGAGGTGGTGCCCAATGGCATGACGTGGGCTTACAGGGCAGCCCCGGGTCCCGGTGGCACTTGCACTGCCATAGCACTCTCTTTCCCTTCTCTCCTCTTCTTCCAGCAAAAAAGAAGCCCAAAGAGGAGGTCAGTCTGGTGGAACTGTTCAGCGCAACAAACCTTCCACTTCAGACCGTACAAAGCAGGTGAGATGGAGCTTGGAGCCTGCCCTGAGCTCAGACAAAAAGGGGCTAGCAAGAACCTGTGGCATCTTGATGGCCAGGGACTATCTGTGGTCGCCCTGGGGTGACCATGGTACTTGGGATGTTGGTGTCAGCTAACGATGGGGGTGAAGCAGGTTGTATTGCAAAGCCTTGCTCGTTTGTGGGATGGACCTATGCGTAAGCGTACAACGTGGGCGTGTTTGGACCTCACAGAACAGCCCCTCTTACTTTCCCAATGATGTGATGTTGTATATGAGATAAAAGGCAGGTTCAGACTCCCCACAATCCTGTCAGCCCTCAGATGATAATATTTGGTGGGTATTAAAGCCTGTATGGAGCAAGCATCAAACCTTGCTTCTCCAGGAACAGCCCCACAACACCCTGGATCTGGGAGGAGGAGGGGGAAGAAGAGGAGCTGCTTTAGCTTTGCTGCTTCTCTGGTTGTATAAAAATTGATTCTATGTTTGGTTGTTTAATGTGGTGCTGGCTCTTTTGCAGAACTGTGGTGGTTCAGGGTCACAGCAGGGCATGAATGATAGACGTCCCTTCTCATCAAACAGAGGGTGAGTACAGCAGCACCTGCAATGGCAGACTGTCCCTTCAAATGCCCCACAAGACCTGGCACTGGTTTCTGCCCCCATCTACCTATGAGTTTTTTCTTAGGGGTGGTTAGAAGGCTAGGAGCAGGAATGGTTCAGTAGCACACAAGTGGTGCTGCCTGCAACGGAGAATTGAACACTGATGTGTGGTGCTCAGTGCAGCACTTCTCCCCACTGGCTAAATCAGTGATTGGGGAAGAGATGTGTAGAGCGGGGCATGTTTCTCATGCAACCCTTGCCCCTTTTTGTCCTTGACTTTATTTTGCACGAAGCACCAGTGCTTGCTGTGCCCAAAACCCCTCTCAGGACACCTTTGCCCAGAAAACCCTGTCTCCTGGCCTGGGATGTGTCTGCTGCCTGGCCCTGGCTCACCTTCACCCGCTGGCTTGGAGGCAGTGCCTGGTCCATCATGTGCTTTCTGGGCATCGGGCAGGCACTCCTGTCTGTGTTATATCTGCTGGACCTGAGCAACACTCAGTTGCTGCTTCTTCAGAGCATTTGCTGCGGAGCCCTGAGATTTCTTGCTTTTGGCTGGTGTGGTCCCTTCATCTCCCCACCCTCCCAGAAATGCCAGTGGACAGACAGGACTGCAGAGCCCTGGGGTGGTCATGCACTTGGGCTGTGCACAGGGTGAGGTTTGTCCTGCTGCTGGCTGCCTCCTGTTAGCATGTGGCTGGGGCCTTCTTGCCCTCTTCTCTCCTGGTGGGTGAGTGGGTGCTGCCACAGTGCCAGCAGATCCCCAGGGGCTGGGGAAGGGGGGTCTGTGGGGAGGGTGGCTGGGTTTGCACTGGGCTCTCCCTGTTCTGGAGAGAAGGTCTGTGACGAGCTGCCTCTCTGCTCTTCCCCTGCCAGCCCACAAGGAAACGCAGCTCAAAGTGGTAGGAACTGCAAGCCCGGCCGCAAGACACAGGACAGAGACAACAGCGGCTACCAGCTGGTAAACCCACCTCCTGCATCTTGGCTGGCAGCTGTGCGGGCAGAAATGGGGACCTGTCCCGTGGGGGGCTCCTCCGCTGGATCTGACCCCCCGATAGCTCCTTTCCCAGCAGCTGCTCCTGTTCTTGCTCTGACCTTAAAGCTTCTCACTTGGTCCCGTATCCTTGGAAGGGTTTGAATGGGTGAAAGCATCAGTACCTTGATGCTAGCCCCTGTATCCCCCATCATGGAAGCAAAGGGAAGGGGAGAAGGGCTGGATTTGCCCATATAGGACCCTCCTAAACTGGTTTTGCTTCTGGGGTTGGCTCCTCATGGAAGTACATCAGCTATGAAGGTGCTGGTATTGATCTCAGGCTGGATGCCTGCCCCACATGGAGCCAAAGTGGGGTGAGGAGTGCCACCCAACCCTATGTTGAGAAGGTGCTGAATCAAAGGCCATGGATGGGGCAGGGTGATGGAGCTCAGCAGAGGATCAGGACAAGGTTGGAGAAGGTGCTGAGTCAAAGGCCATGGCTGGGGCAGGGTGGTGGAGCTCAGCAGAGGATCAGGACAAGGTTGGCAGGGGGAGGGAGTGCTAAAAGGGGAAGCACTGAGTGATAGATGATGACTGTGTATGGAATAAGTGGGAGAAAGATGGTGTCTGCTTTGCCTTGTGTCCATAAAACCAAAATGCAATAGTTTCAACAAAGCTAAAAGTGGAAAATATAATAACTAATAAGAGGAAAGAAGTTACCATTAAAAGGGTGACTAAACTGTGAATCTCACTGTCATGGGGTGTTGTCAAGAGCTAGGATTGTTAAAAATTGGCCTGATGTTTTAATCCCTCCGGCATTTGCATACAGTAAATTAAAGAACATTTTGGAAGGGATAGGTAATGTGTTTCATGGGGCTGGGGAACCTTACTGTAAACTGCCTTAACTCTCTCGGAAGCTCTGTCACTGACTGCTTTTAGAGAAGGGATATTTGAGTAAAAAAATCCTGGTAGGTGGTTCAGATACAGCAATTTTGATGCATTCCAAAGGAAGTATTAGGTATAATAATTCCAGTCTGCATCAGGGCTTAGTGGTATTTCCTGGTAGCACCGGAGGAGGTGTGGATGCTGATGAGCCTGACTGACGAGAGGTGATTCAGAGGGCAAATCTGCTCCTCTCCTCTTTCCAGGCCCACCTGTGGGTTTTGTCACAGGCAGCTCCACTTCCCCAGAGCCAAAGAAGTGGTGGGACCTGAGATATGTGGGGCTGCCGGTGGGGTGGCCGCCTGCCCTGGGCAGTAATGCGGGCACGGAGGTCATACTGCAGGCAGAGATGTCTGGACCATAGGAAGGCATCTAGCAGTGGATCGCAAAGGTCAGCATTGTCTGCCTTCACGTCATCAGTAATTACCCAGATGAGAGAGGAAACAGCACATTAATGAAATTAGCAAGTGGCATTTAACCAGCAGGTGCTATCACAGCACCCCAATGTCACTGAACCCCCTGTGCCACCTGGCATGAAACCTCCCCTCCTGGTGGTCCTGCTGATAAACCATCAGTTTGTGCTAAATGGTGCATCTCCAGGTGGGACAGGAGGTGGAATGTCCTCTCTGTCCCAGCAGCAGCTCTCCTCCGATTGCACCATTTGCAGCCATTGCAACATGTTTTATAGCACCCGGAGGAGGGGATGGGAACACATTAGTCACTCCTTCGTCTCGGTCTTTTTTTCAACACCTGGAGCAGAGGTGGGCGGCCGGGCTGAGGAAGGGGCTGTGTGTGTGCCAGGGAACAGGCTGCTGTACCTCTGACCTCTGCTGCTTGACACTTGCTACAACTCTGAAAACACCCTGACATGTTTGTAGGGTGGAGACCTAAGTGCCAAGAGGGGACCCCCAAAAAGCTACTCCTTGTGTGAGTTTGTCCTGGTTCTGCTATGCATGGTTTGTAAGGAAAGCTGTGTTTAAATTGTAAGGAAAACTGTGTCTCGTTGTCATGCTTGAGAGGAAACGCGAGGGCACCCTTAATTAGTCATAGATGCTCATATATGCTTGTGTCTCTGAACTCAGTGGGTGTCAGAAGTTGTGCTGCGTGTCGCACCACCCTCGGGCTGCTGTAGAGGTTTTTCCTTAATTTTGGCCAATGGATTTCATCTTCATTCTTGGAGATGAAATGGCATCAAAGCCCTGATAAGGAGGACTAGGGACAGGTAGCAGAAGTTTTCATCTTCTTGTGGATCCCCAGTGAGAGAAATAAACCTGCCCTGGACCAAGATGCCAAGGTAGATCAGATAAGTGGGTCTGTGCCTGGCTGTGGGGCAGGTCCCCGAGAAGCTTGACTGACCAGTCCAAAAAGAGACACTACCTCTTTACAAGCTTGGCCTTGCTGGAGGAGTGGTGGACGTGCCGCAGGGCAGAGGGGCCCCATAGCAAGGCTTGGTTTGTAAACGCTTTTAAGTCACGTAAAGAAAGGTCTTGAAAGTGAACCAGCACCAAATGTGATTTCTTTCTCTCTTCAGCTGGACTGTGATCGAATTCTGCACGGGGTAAAGGGTGGAAGGATTTTCTGCAGCAAATCCTCACAACCAGTCTGTGGCACTGATGGGAAAACATACAAAAATGAATGTGACTTGTGTTCAGCTGCCATGTGAGTAGGCGGAGAGATTTCAGTAATACAGGGCCATCCACCATTCCCGAGTGTCTTTTGCAGCACAGTGTTTGTTTTGATATATCATGACTCACTATCAAGTGTGTCCTTGGTGCCTTGCTGTTAAGCAAACATAGATCAAAATGCCTGAGATTAATCTGATGACAGCTAATTAAGATACACAAGTTTCCAGAGTCCCCTATTCCCTTTCTGCCCAATTGTAAGATTGTTTGGGGAGTAATAAATGCCATCGTATTGGAAGTAGCATCAAAGTATTAAGGAGCCCACAGAGGACTGTCATGCTGATGGCAGAGAGCTGCGGCATTGCAAGTGAATAATAAGCAATGTCTTGTCCTCCCTTTGCAGGAGAGCTTCAAACTACATCACGGTAAACTATCAAGGTGAATGCCGAAAGCCTGCCCCTGAAGTGGTAAGCGGCATGCCACGGCTGGATGGGGAAACATCCATCTTTTCCTTTCCCCTTGTGTAAACTCCCCTGTCAGCACCATCTGGGCTCATGGGGGCCTGATCCAGGTGGCCACAGTGGAGAGTGAAAAATCACAAGTACTGGGCAGTCGGTCACCATCTGCCCTGCTCTGCTCTTCAGCAGTAGCTGGGGGGTCAACACTTTGGCCCTGCAGGCAGGTTAACTAACAGGTTAATTGAAAGAACAAGTTAACTGAACTAATGGCTTAATTAAAGCCATGTTCTCTGGCTGCTCTTCAGCCATGTGGTGTAGCGTGTTCCAGTACTGTTAGGGTCAGCTGGGGAGTTGTACCGCAGGCTGGGAGGGAAGAGGAGTATTGGAGCCCCTGATCTCCTTTTTCTTTTTTTATTTACAAGCTTGGCTTTGCTGGAGGAGTGGTGGACGTGCCGCAGGGCAGAGGGGCCCCACAGCAAGGCTTGGTTTGTAAGCGCTTTTAAGTCACGTAAAGAAGGTCTTGAAAGTAAACCAGCACCAAATGTGATTTCTTTCTCTCTTCAGCTGGACTGTGATCGAATTCTGCACGGGGTAAAGGGTGGAAGGATTTTCTGCAGCAAATCCTCACAACCAGTCTGTGGCACTGATGGGAAAACATACAAAAATGAATGTGACTTGTGTTCAGCTGCCATGTGAGTAGGCGGAGAGATTTCAGTAATACAGGGCCATCCACCATTCCCGAGTGTCTTTTGCAGCACAGTGTTTGTTTTGATATATCATGACTCACTATCAAGTGTGTCCTTGGTGCCTTGCTGTTAAGCAAACATAGATCAAAATGCCTGAGATTAATCTGATGACAGCTAATTAAGATACACAAGTTTCCAGAGTCCCCTATTCCCTTTCTGCCCAATTGTAAGATTGTTTGGGGAGTAATAAATGCCATCGTATTGGAAGTAGCATCAAAGTATTAAGGAGCCCACAGAGGACTGTCATGCTGATGGCAGAGAGCTGCGGCATTGCAAGTGAATAATAAGCAATGTCTTGTCCTCCCTTTGCAGGAGAGCTTCAAACTACATCACGGTAAACTATCAAGGTGAATGCCGAAAGCCTGCCCCTGAAGTGGTAAGCGGCATGCCACGGCTGGATGGGGAAACATCCATCTTTTCCTTTCCCCTTGTGTAAACTCCCCTGTCGGCACCATCTGGGCTCATGGGGGCCTGATCCAGGTGGCCACAGTGGAGAGTGAAAAATCACAAGTACTGGGCAGTCAGTCACCATCTGCCCTGCTCTGCTCTTCAGCAGTAGCTGGGGGGTCAACACTTTGGCCCTGCAGGCAGGTTAACTAACAGGTTAATTGAAAGAACAAGTTAACTGAACTAATGGCTTAATTAAAGCCATGTTCTCTGGCTGCTCTTCAGCCATGTGGTGTAGCGTGTTCCAGTACTGTTAGGGTCAGCTGGGGAGTTGTACCGCAGGCTGGGAGGGAAGAGGAGTATTGGAACCCCTGATCTCCTTTTTCTTTTTTTTAATTTTTTTTCCCCCCCCTCCCCTTCCTCGGGTGGGGTGTTACTGAGAAGTGGAGAAAGTGGCCACCCAAAGTGCCTCTTGGCTGTGTGTAGCATCTCATTTCTCACTCCAAGGGTGTGCTGGAGAGCCAGCATATCCCCTGCATCTGTAGTGGGAACCTCAGAGCCCTGGGAGTGGGATGCTCACAGTCCAGATGTTTAAATGCAGGTTCAGGCTTGGATTTAATATATAACCTGGACATAGTCTCTGTGTTTTACCTAGGCTGTAGGGTAGGAGACTGACATGTCTGGGAAAACATCTGGCTTTCCTCCAGGGAAGTTGGTGAGGCCAGAAAGACTAGAACTGCATCAAGCAAAAAGGGCTCATTTTCCAAATAACATCCAGACAGACAGTTGGAAAATGAAAATTATTCTCTAAGTGACATACTTTTGGGAAAGGTCTTGAGCCTTGACATCTTGTGATCCCATATAGCAGATGAGTTAAATATTTCCCAGTTGTGCTTTGTCTTTCCACCAGTGGCAGCTTGGCAGTCTCCAGTACTTTTATTTGCAGCCAGGATCTGAGTTTTTGTCTCTTGAGTGCGTGGGCTGCCCCGTAACACCCAGGGAGGACTGTCCTCTGTGTTGGCATGAACTCTTGAGAAACTGAATATTCATCCCCAGGGAAATACTGAGATTTGTTCTCACTTTCCAGACCTGGAGAGAATCAAAATATTGAACCATCCAAATAGAGAAGTTCTGTAAAGTTTTGAATGGGAGCTTTGGCTTCTGAATATGAATTTGGTATCAATGTGTTTGTAGGCAATGAAGAGCTTTCCTGTGGGATAGCCACCATGCAATAACATCATGCTATTGGCTTTCTCTGCTCAGTGCCAGGGTGCCAGCAGATCTCAAAAACATTAAAAAGTAAACATCCCAGCTCCCCTTCCCCTCTTCTGTAAAGGAGCACAGTTCTCTGAACTTTGTTGAAAGTTGAAGAAATTGTGGCAAAGAGAGAAATAATTTTGCCTGTGATCATGTTGGAGGCCTTTGTGTCTTGACTTTTAGTATGATGGAGCCTCTGTTGGCTTGTGTGTTTCGGGAGCATGGGGAGACCAGGCACTACAAGAGCCTGTTGGTGACTGTGCTCTCACTGCCCGAGACAGATGGGATTGGGTATACCATGGCAACTGAAAAATAGAGAGGATTGCCACAGAACTGTGCCTGGTCTGGAATTCCTTACTCTTCTGTGTTTCACCAAGCTGTTGCAGCTCTCAAGCCTTTGCCAGTTAGAGGACTGTGCCATTTACGGAAAGTCAGACAGCTTGTAGCTGTGTCAAGTATTCCAAGGAGAGTTGGATGCAATTAAAAGGGAAAGTGATACGATTTTTTCCTTGGGGCAAAAAAAGCCAAACACAAACCCCCACGCACAATGATTTATTCTTAATACACATAAACAAAGTCACCTGAAGAATCAGATTGGAAATGTGTGGGAGCCCATTTCCTTGGAAAACCTTTTGAGTCCATCAAAAAATTTCCCTATTTCTCAGTTGGAAGCTTATGAACAATGTACAGAGAAATGTTATTTTCAGCACTGAAATTCATGGTCACTTGCAGTGTAATGAATTCTTCTTTTACTGAATATGCAGGCACTCAATCTGTGCTACTGAAAGCAGAGGGAACCAGCTCCAGCAGTGCTTTTGGCATCAGAAATGGTTTTAGACCATTGCAAGTGCAGAACAAAAATGCAAAGGCCTCATGTTAAATTTTGGAGACAGATAAGAAATGGTTACCCCAAAATGTAATATTTCCTTGAGTTGTATTTTGAAATTATCCATGGAGGATGCTGGGCTGCCTGACAAAAATGTGTGTCCAAGCTTATTCCTTCACAGCTCAGTGTCTGTATCCATTCCTGCCTGCAAAGCTCCTGATGGATTTCCAGGTGTTTCTGGGCAACTCTCCCAGCCTGGTGGCCAGATTGCCATCAGGGAGGGATGCTTGCAGGAAGGGATGGGAGCTGTGTGGTCTGCGAGAGATCTGATGCTAAAGGGTGTATCTGTGCACTGCTGTGGTGGAAAACCTTGCTGCAGAGAGAGCCTGTCCCCAGGGCCTCGGGCTGGCTGGTGTCTGGCCTCACCACCTTCTCTGTGCCGTAACCAAATTCCTTTGATCCTGTGCTGCTTTGCTGTGGATGAATGTAGATCTGAGTCCTGGATTTAGATATCTTTTTTGGTAAGCTAGCTGGCCACTAGTTCCTGCAGTGCTATGTCATACGGGTGAATTTATTGTGGGTCTTGTCAGTGCATTTCACTTTTAATGCTGCATATCTTCCTTTACTTGTTCAAAGGTTTTTCCACAAATCACCCATGTGATAGTCACCAGTCTGCCCACGTTAGTCAATAGGTCAGGGATAAAAGGAGATATCCAGCTTCTCCTTTTTTAAAATGCATTTATTAATAAACAGGTAACTTCCAGGTTTGCAATGGGCCATCCTCTTTTTCTTATAATGCTCTCTAGTCTGTCATGTTTCTTTTTAAGGTAGCAGAAGGAAGAACGAGATAAAAAAGCAGGATCTTACCCAGTTAGGTAGTAGGTGTGGAAAGCACCTAGCTTTTGGGCTGAAATTGGTCTTGTTTGTCTCGGCTGGTGGTGATCCAACTTGCCTGCCCTGGTGCCAGGCGCTGCCGCTGTTGTTTCGTGTGGCCACTGAGTTGGCTGGAGGGGCTGCCACGCCGATAGTAATGCTCTGCAAGTGACACACAGCAACGGTCGTGCTTGGGGGTGGTCTAATTTTTTTGCTTTTTCTTTCCAGAAGTAATGGAGTTCAGGCTGCCAGCCAACACCAGGGATCAGCGGTGAGCAAAGGTACAGAGAGGGGCAGTGATTTACCCGCTCCTGGCCTGCCTGTCCTCTGGGGGTTGTGTTTTCCAAGGGTTGGAGTGTCCAGCCTTGCCTGGGCAGGCTGCAGGGCTGGGACAGAGGGTCTCTGCAGCATGCTTTTCCCTCACCCTGCAGCCAGGGGATGGTGGGGCTGAGCCCACGGGGAATGTGCAGACTTTCTGGTGCCTGCAGTGGTGGCCTCTGCCCGTTCCTTTGGCCCTGGCTCTGTTTTTTCAGCTAAGTTGTCCCTGCGGAGCTTGGAGGATGCTGGCAGAGCATTGTGCTGCTGTCCCCCATCATGGGGAGGCAGGGGTGGCCCAGAGCCATTACAGAGCATGGGAGAATTACAGCTTTGAGGTTTCCTTGTGGTCCTTTCAGGTCCCTTTGCCTTCTAGGGCTATAGTAATAAACTGTCTCCCCCTGTTTCCCTAGGGCGAGTAAAGGAAGAGTTGATGATGAGCATCAGGGGAGCTGCCGAGTCCCCAGGACTGCCAGAGCTGCCTTCATCCCCTTCTGCAGTGAACGGGGCCCGTCCTTGCTCAGGTGGAGGGCGAAGGGCTGTGGGAACCGAGCGGTGTCTTCCCAAGTCTGCCCCACGCGCGCCGTCGCGGTCTCTGCCGCCTCGCTGTGTCTTTGCGTGCTTCTACAATAAAGATAACTCAGCAGCTTCATGTCACTTTTCTTCACTAAGCCTTGTGGTAGGGACAAAGAAGCCCCCACTCCGGCTTTACACAGCATGCCCCTTAAGCAATAAGCAAGCACAGAGGCCCCCGGGGTGCACCAGCTGCTGTAAATACCTGGTGAAGAATTGGACCCAAGGAAGAGCAGCGTGGTCCAGGGTTTTTGAGGAGGGACCAGGGGTCAGGTTCTCCCTGACTTGTTGTGGGGTCTTGGGTCAATCACCACCCTTTCAGCCCTTTTCTCTTGCCTGTATAATGGATATTAAAGGATACACTACCTACCTCAGAGGGTTGTTTTGAGATTTAATTGGTTTACATTTGGAAACCCACAGAGGAAAATTGGTTTTAAAGCACCCCACGTATTGGGCTGGCAGTTTGGCTGTTGCAGTTTGCCTGTATAACGGATATTAAAGGATACACTACCTACCTCAGAGGGTTGTTTTGAGATTTAATTGGTTTACATTTGGAAACCCACAGAGGAAAATTGGTTTTAAAGCACCCCACGTATTGGGCTGGCAGTTTGGCTGTTGCAGTGGGTGTGCTCTTCCACTCCCCTCATCTGAGGCACTGGGAAATCCAGACCACTTTGAGCAGCTGTGGGAAGTAGATATGCCTTGACTGGTCATGTTAGATGGTGAGCTAAGGTCTGCCCCACCAAAGCTGGAGCTGGGGACAGAGCTGGGAAGGTGGCTGGGATCTGGAGGTGTGAATTCGATCAGCAGCGTTTCTCCCTCTGGGATGGCAGAAGCACTGAGGGCACCCTTGAGGCAGCGCTGGTCAAGCAGAAAGCTCAGCCAACTTGGTGGCTCATGGACTCTTCACCCTATGCTTCTGGGTCACCCTTCTGCCTTAGCCTAAACTTCCCCAGATAGGGCCCTGTGGGCACAAGGGTTCAGGCAGTGCCCATTTCAGGAGGCATCTCCTGCAAGGAGGCATCCTTTGTTCAGGATCCTGGTGCTGGGGGGGTGGAGAAGTTCCATGGTGTTGAATGGCTTAAGCTATTTAAGGAAAAACATCATTGTTTTGAGATGTAACTAATTTACAGACAGTCCTATTCATTTATAGTCTGAAACTATTTTAAGATGAAGGCATGCCTTTGAGCTAAGGGCTCCCTTGGCTCCTTGTGGGCAAGTTATCTGAGAATGGGGTGGGATTTGCAAAACAGGAGGTTGTGGTGGTGGGTTAACAGAAGTCTGCTGGCAGTTTGCACGCACTTCCTGTACTTTCTTTTATAGCTGTTACTTAAAGCAAATACGTTCTTTATTTGTATAAACTTTATTGCAGGACATTTCCAGAAGACCTTGAGTGAACACACAGTGTTTGAGTCCATTTTAGCTGTGACCTGATCTGTAAACACTTTCTGTTGCAGATAAGGCTGGAGAGACTTTCGTTCAGATTTTGGCAGGATTTTACCTAATACCAATTAATTTCACTCCCACCAAAGACGTAAATTTTTTCCAATTAAATTATCAAATCTTTTTTTTCTACTGCAGTTAATGAGAATTGATTTTTAAACTCTCAAAATGCTTACGCACGCATCATATTTTATTTCTACTGATAATATTAAAATCTCATTTTAGTATCAGCAGACTCTGACATAAGTAGCTGTTAATATTTTTTTTTTAATGCTGATTTTTAATGTGAGCAAACACTGTGATTCAGAAATTATTACTGTCTATTTCTATGTGGAAAATCCCCTTGCCAAGTAGAGTCATGCAGGGTGGAAGTTGCCAGTTTGGTCCAGGTTGGCTCTTCTGGGGGATGCAAGGTTTGTCTGCCTTTGAGCTGTGATGAAACAAGTAAATTCTTGAATGTTATTTATGCAGCCTGAGAATGATGAATATCAGACAGTGAAAATGTTCTCTGATGATGTCTGCTCGCTGATTCCAGCTAAAATCATGTTCAGAGCCATCTACATGATTTCACAAAAGCAGTGCACAATTTGTGGCTTAAAATAAATTCTTGCAAATGGAAATCAGTGCACTTGAAAGCTATTATGATTTGTAGTGATTTCAAGTATTTAGGTTTTGAAATAATCACACATAAAACCTGCATTAACTGTGCTCCAAAAGCAATGAACTGATGAAGATGGTGCCCTAGTAGCCTCTTCTGTCAGTATTTGAGCACCTTCTGAGTTTCTCCTGCTGCCAGCAGGAATTATCATCCGCAAAAAATCGCAGCTGGTGGTAAGGCATCGTTAAATAGATTCCAAACCTGTCTGCTGAGCAGCGGTAGGACAGTGACTTGCTGAAACCTCCTGCTCTCTCATTAAGAGCCCTACCCGAGGCAGCAATGCCGACTCCTTTGTGCTCTCAGCAGCCTGCTCGCTCCGTCCTTTCTTGCTTTCCACCCCCTTCTGCAGATCGCTCCAAGGGCTCGCTGACGAGGTCTGTCCTGAGCAGCTCCAGCCGGGCTCCACATGAGTGATGCCACCCATTATTTCTATCAGGTTCCTGGGGAGAAGACGGCAAAGTGTCAAGAGGTATTGGGAATTTATTACCCTTTCTTCTGCATTTGCTCTTGGTTACCCTTTGTGTTGCCCTCTAATACGGTAATAAGGCTAAAACAGTCCTCCACCAACCTGGAAAGGTACCAGCACTCTGGGGAGTCTTCAGTTTGCTGTAAATTACACTTTATGAAGGGTGTCTCTTGCCAAGATCCACAGACCCCATGTGGTTCACAGTGGTTTCTGAGGTTTTGCAGAACTGGCGTTATGAACTGGCTGCTTCATTCTCCAGGCCTCTCAACGTTATTGGGTTTTGAGCTAAACTACTCTCTGCAGGGGCCTTGAGCCTCTTGCTCTTTTTCATAAAAGGTGTCAGTTACTTATGCAATTCTTCAGGGTGTGCAAGTGCTGCTCTTGGTATGTAGTGAGGACTGTTGATTCTGGCAGAGGACTCAGCAGACCTTGAGCTCACCATGCTGTTTCTCAATCCTCTGCAGTCTATCTGTGTGGACCCTGGTAGCTCTGCCCACCACCTCGCAGCTGCTCTCGCAGCCACCATGGAGGGAAAATCCCTGCATGGCAGCATGGTGTGGTCTGGCTGGGGGGGCACCTCTGGCTGTCTGACATAGTGCCAGAAATCCTGCAGGTCAGGGATGTGTTTGCTTCTTCAAGAACTGAGCAAGTTGTAATGCAGAAAGCCTGGTGCCATTTGCGGAGTGAAACCCCTCTGGGTCTGCTGCAGAACTCTCTTTCCTGTCTCTTCCCTGCATCCCTGGGATGCTCAATCCCACCAAACAACTGCTGCGTAGGGGTACCTGGGGGTTTCAGCATTATTTGCCTTGATGATCACAACTTCTGCTCCATGGCCCATCTGCCTTCGTCCTGGGGACTGGTGAATGGGTTTTTCTCTCTCTTCTCTTTAAGATGCCTGTTTAGCATCTGTTAGCACATCTGTCTTTTCCTATGAGGGCCTCCCTACTGCAGAGAGCTCTTGTCCAGGTCATTTCTTTGGGATCTCCCCTCTCCAGTCTGCTGCAGGACCTTCTGCTGCCCAGCCCTCCCACCGGGGCTACAAAACAAGAACCTTCAATGCTTTCCCCTGTGTGAAGGTGTGAGCAACCCCACTGAAGCTGTTCACTGAAAATAGTAAGATGTAAATGCAGCTACTTGCAAACTACAAATCCAGGTGAGAATTCACGATTCACCTTCATGTTGAAGGTCCCAAAAGGTGTAGTAACAACTGCATACTTGGTTCATGGATGGGAAGCATAGAAAATTTCTACTTATATTTCTGAAAAACAAGTAAGTTGGCTTTATTGCCTTCTGGCCTCAAAGGGGTTGCTTACTTTCTTGGTCTGTGTTGGTGAGATTCTGCCGAAATGGTGGTAAATGATTCACAGCTGGGACTAGAGGTAACCTGCAGAAGGAAAGGAGGACAGTGCCCGTGTCCAGATCTGCTCAGCCAGGTGAGTTCTGCAGATCCTCCCTCTCCTGGTATTCCCGGCAAAGGGACAATAAACACTGGATGTCAACACAGCATGACTGCAAGTGGGGGTTGCACAAATATAAGGGTGGAAACTTATGGGGGCAACCCAAGGTCTCCCGGTCCAGCCTGGGCGAGATGTGTTGCACCTTCTGCTCTGGTCCTAAAAGACTCTGTTCTGCTGGACAAGTGGCTGCTGGAAAAAGCTTTGCTGAATCGCTCTCTATGAAGCAGACAGCTCAGCTGTAGGGTTGCAGCATGGATCTTCCTTGTGCACTGGGCGGGAGACCAAAGCTGAGGACTATGTGCTTTGGCTGATACAGGGAACAGCAGATATGTGCTATAGCTGTAGTGATGTTTCTTAAATCCCAGTTCCTTTTCTAGATCCTTGACAAGTGTTTGCTGTTCTCTCCCCTTAATCTGTCTCCTATTGCAAACTATTCCCCAAATTTAATAACTTAGTTGGAAGAGAATTGCTGTGATCTTGACAGAACATGTCGAGTCAATCTATTTCAACTGCAGATTTGGTTTGCAAATAATTTCTCCTTTCTGATAAGGTTCAGGTGTCATCTCTGTGGACATTGGCAGGAATTTGCTTGACCATGACAGCTTTTACAGAGTCTAGCAATTAAGTTGTCAAGATACATTTTCTTCTGCCAGGAAGCATTAATTGATGATAGTCTTGGCTGGAATAAGCCCTGAGAGATGGATATTGTAATCAGGATGAACAGAGGTCCTTGTAGTCAAGGCCTGCATTGGTCCAAAGGTCTGGAGTCCTTGACACTTGGTGGAACCAAGATGAAGGACAGGGCAAGAGACACTGAGGGTGGATATCAGGGGGAAGGAATGAAAACAAGAAATATGAATAGAGTTGTCTCTAGTGTCACTAGAGATTAACGTACCTGGAAATACTGGCTTTTGGGGAGACTTTAGCTTTGCAGATGCATGCTGCAAACTACTAATATTAACAGAGCTCCTGGATACAAAACCAAATAGAATTTTCC